GCTAGACAGATCAACGTACTATCAACAAATCATATAGGGCAAGTTGAATTTGCGTTACTTTTTGTGCTAACTTTTAAATAATTCTGAAATTTTAGCTCAGTATACATACGATGTCAACGGCGTTTGTATTAGTAACGAGTGGAGCGTCGGTAGTCACAATTACTATGCTGATTGCTATGGGTATTATTGTGAGCGACATTAATAGCCTTCACGATGAGATTACGGAAGGAATGAAGGAGTTTAGGGTAAAATGTCTACGATTATCTCAAGCAGCATTGGCTAAGAAGATTGAGCTTCATTTTGCAGTCTGACGTTGACGGTGCTTGGGAAATGATACTTGCCGGGTATTCGGATCAGAACTACCATTCTCTTAAAGAAAAGCGCAAGGCTGACGCTGTCGGGCGACCTCAACAAGCGTACGGATGTGCATGTGCAGCTGCGATTTCGAACTGTCCACCCGGACCTCAAGGACCTCCTGGGATTCCAGGTCCTCCAGGAGAGCCAGGTCTTGACGGAACGCCTGGCAGTCCCGGCGTTTCTGGCGTTGGGGTTCTAATCCAACAACAGACTTCAACAGCATGTATAAAGTGTCCAGCTGGGCCACGAGGAGTACAAGGTCCACCGGGAGAAATGGGTCCGCAAGGCCCGGTTGGTCAACAAGGTCGTCAGGGAATGCCAGGAAGCCCAGGTGAAAATGGTTTACCTGGACCTCGCGGCGACAATGGCATGCCTGGATTCCCGGGCATGAGAGGAATGCCTGGTCCACCTGGATTGTCAGGAACGCGCTATACGCATGGAAGTGGAGGTAGGCCTGGTCCACAAGGTCCGCCGGGACCCACGGGTCCACCAGGTCAGGATGGTGAGATGGGTTGTGAAGGACCCGAAGGAATGCCTGGACCACCGGGAATCCATGGACGCGACGGCACTCCTGGTCATGATGGCCAATCCGGAATACCAGGTCAGCCTGGAAACGATGGAAAGGACGCTCACTACTGTCCATGCCCTGCAAGAACTACGACATTTTGAAGTACATTTTAATAAAAATTTGCAAAAGTCTTCTTTGCAGCTCAGGTTTGCAAATTATATTCTTAATTACCACCAAGTGTTTTGCGCTCTAACACTTTTGATAACAACTTTTAACTTTTCTTGCCTTACTGATAGCAACATTAGAGT